CAAAATCTTATAAAATGAATGTTGAAAACTATCTTTACATGTAATTTGAAAAAATAAAATTATATTACGTAGAAAAAAACAAGATAATAAATACATAACAGAACCACCCTTCCCCCCCAAAGAAAAAAGACTGTGCATACCTTTTGACCCAGCAAGACTACTACCAAGTCTGTATCCCAAAGAGATCACAGAAAAAAGAAAAAGACCTATAAATAAAACAAAGTTTATAGCAGGTCTTTTTGTGGTGGGAAAGTATTGGAAATTCTTGAGAGGATGCCCATCAATTGGGGAATGGGTAAACAAGTTGTGGTATATGACTGTGATAGAATACTATTGTGTTATAAGAAATGACAAGCAGGATTTTTTCGGAAAACTCTAGGAAGATTTATAGGAACTGATGAAAAGTGAAACGAGCAGAACCAAGAGAACATTTACATAGTAAGAGCACTATTGTAATGATGATTAATTGTGAAAGACTTAGCTATTCTTATCAAGACAATAATCCAACACAATTCCAAAGGACTTATGATGAAAAATGCTATGTCCAGAGACAGAACTGATGAACTCTGAGTACAAACTGAAATAAATTTTTTTCACTTTCTGGTTCTGCCTTTTTTGTCAGTGGGGGGGTTGGGGGGTTGGGGTGATATGGCTTATATGGAAATGTTTTGCATGATTTCACATGTATAATTGTTATCATACTGCCTGCCTTCTCAATGAGTTGGGAACTGCAGGGAGAAATTTTGGAATTGAAAATTTAAAAAAAAGAATGTTAAAATTTCTTTTCTAAAATAGCAGCATTTGCCTAAGGAAAAGGGAACATTAGCAGTGCTCAGGGCCTAGAACAGGCAGATAGCATACTGTGCTGCTGCAGTGGCCGTTAGCCCCAAAGCAGTCATACCAGACTGCTATGTAGGACCTAGCAGCAGTGCCAGAAGGTACCAACCCCAGGGGTAGCAGTCAGCTACCTGTAGCAGTGACAGTGGTCAGCAGTAGGAAACAGCTTTATAGAATTCCAAAAGTTTTGGCACATCTCATCCTTATTTCCTTTGATAAATTTTCTATTCTTCCTCTGATTCGTTCTTTGATCCACCAAATATTTGGGATTAAATTATTTTGCCTCCAATTGATTGTTAATCCTTTCTTCAAGGACCCTTATTACATCAAATTTTTATTGCACTGTGATCCATAAAGGGTATGTTTAACATTTCTACATTTGTGAGGTTTTTATGTGCCTAAAACATTTTTTAATATCCCAAAACATTTCAATTTTTTTAAACTTGCCATGCATGGCTAAAAAAAATATGTAAAACTTTCCACTTCTATTTGATAATCACCACAGGTCTATCATATCTAATTTTTCTAATGTTTTATTCAGGTCCTTAATTTTTTTTCTCATTTATCTTTTTCTTGGGTCACCTTTCCCTCCTTGGTATTGTTGTCTTTCTAGGTTTTCATGACCCTATTCTTTCATACTTTTCCTCCTACCTCTCTGACCACTCAGTCTCCTTTGCTGGATCTTCATCCAACTCACAACCATTAACAGTATTAATAGCATGTGTCCTAGACCCTCTTTTCCCTCTATATGATTTCATTTGATCTCATCAGTTCTCATGGAATCAATTATCATCTCTATGCTGATGGTTCATAGATCTACTTATCTAGCCCTAACCTCTCCTCTAACCTCTAGTCTTACATTTCCAACTGCCTATGGGACATTTGGAACTAGATGTCATATATGTATATGTATATATATATATATATATATATATATATATATATATATATATATATATATATATATATTATTTTAAACTCAACATATCAAGGACTGAACTTGGGGCAGCTAGGTGGTGCAGTGGGTAGAGCACTGGCCCTGGATTCAGGAGGACCTGAGTTCAAATCCAGCCTCAGACACATAATACTTACTAGCTGTGTGACCCTGGGCAAGTCTCTTAACTCCACTGCCTAACCAAAAAAACCTCCCCAAAAAACTGAACTCATTATTATCCCCTCAAGTCCTCCCTTTTCCCCAAATTCCCTGTTAGTGTTAAGGGTATTCCATTCTCCCTGTCACCCTAGGAGTTATCCTTGACTCCTTACTCTCACCCCTCCCCCAATATCCAATTAGTTGCTAAATTCTGTAAATTGTACTTTAGCATCATCTCTCTTATATGTCCTTTTCTCTCCTCTGACACTGCTACCACACTGGTGTAGGTTCTCATCACCTTACACATGGAGTTTTGCAATAGCCTATTTTCTGAGTCTCCCTGCCTCTAGCATTTCCCTGCTGTTGTCTATCTTCTACTCAGCTGTCAAACTGATCTTCTAAAGCACAGGTCTGACCATCTGACTCTGTCATTCTCTTAATCAAAACTCCAGAATGCCTGCCAGCTTCCGTGTTCCTGCCTAGGGGATGACTGAGCTGAGGCCCCACTGGGAAAGGCAACCAAATGGCCTTTGATGTCCATGCGGCAGCCAGCCTGGTCGTGGGCTAACGGGAGAACATCCGGCCAGTGCTTCAGATGTTCTGCTACCAGGAGGCGATTGGGCCTCGAGGCTCCGTGAGCTGTGCTGGCCGTGGCTGGGCCCTCAGGGCCTCATCTAGGGCAGATACTGGACCTTCTAGTGCTGGAGCAGTTCCTGAGTATTGTGATGAATGAATTCAGAAAAGACATCCTCACCTCCCTCAGTATGCCTGCAATTTGACCCTGACCTTCTTTTCATGTTAATCTTATTCCTGGCTAGATGTCCAAGGACATCTATGGTACTTGCTCCCTAGTAGGGCTGGCCACCCTTCCAGGCACCGGAAACATCCTTGAACAGAATTGCTCTCAAGGATGTTTTGAGAACCTTGCCTCCCCCACTAAGGATGCATTTATTCTGGCAAACTACCTTCTTAGTTAGAAGGAACTACTAAAACCAGGTAGCCCCAAGTTCACCTTTGGAGTCTCCCCTGGGGGGCAGATGGGTAGCCCGAGATTTTCCCACTGGAACTCTGGAGTCTGAAACCCAGGCCTCCCTAGCCCATGTGATCCAGATGTAGATGATTCCCTTCATGGTAAAGATTGATTGTGACAAGATTTGATACCCGTTGAGACTTAAGTATGTTATTGTTACCTACTGGGACTTACTAACTCTAACTCTATTCTACTTATTAATCTTAATCCAATTTTACTATCTTAATAATAAATACTTTTACTATATACTTATATGTAAAAAAACAAACAAAAAAACCCTCCAGTGTCTCCCTGTTACCTCCAGGATTCTCTGACATTTGAAGCCTTTCATAATTTGCCTTCCCACCCCCACCTTTCTAGCCACATAATGTGTAATCCAATGATACTGACGTCCTTGAGGTTCCTTTCATAACGAATACTGCAGTTTTACTTGTTGTACCCTATGCCTGTGATGCTCTCCCTCCTAAATCTCCATCCCCTGGCTTCCCTGGATGCACTCAAGTTCCAGCTATAATACCACCTTCTACAAGAAGCCTTTCCTGATCTCCCTTAATGTTAGTGCCTTCCTTTTGAGATCATCTCCAGTTTATTCTGTATATATCTTGTTTGTAAATGTTTGTATTATGTCTCCATTTAGACTCTGAGCCTCTTGAGGGCAGGGATTTTTTTTTTCATTTTCATCTTCTGTCCTATCCTAGTCCTGGCACATAATATAGGTATTTAATAAATGCTTTGTTGCCTGGCTCTCACATTTGTAGAAGACTCAATGAAAAGCTATGTGGTGGATGTTAGCAGATAGCAGCACATTACCAATAACATGAAGTGGTATAAAAAGCATCCCCAAGGACATGTATGATCTGTGAAGGAGTGTAAATACCAAAAGGAGGAACAGAAGAACACATGGAGGGTTACAATGGAATAAGTAAAATGCTGAAAGTCCCAGATAAGGTTTTACTTTAAGTCATAGAAAAATATCAACATTTGCCACCAGTGGGAGGAGCATTAATTCACATTTACATAGCACTTTAAGGTTTGCAAAGGGATTTCCTCAGAACTATCTTGTGCTGTAGGTATTATTTCCACTTTACAAAGAAGGGAACTGAAGTGCACAGAAATTACTTAAGGAAGGTCAGTTCTTTGGTATCTTATTGTGGGAAGAGAGAAAAGCATTTCCTCCTATTTCTTATTCGCTGTGAGGTGACTGACTAGTCATTTTTACTATTTCACGTCTTTGGGCCTTCGGATCCCACTTGTGAAAACATGAAAACATGTAAAAAGCATGAATAAGTAGTTTTCAGTACTCTTATAGCTCTAAAGTTTTGTGACTGTTATTTTTGTGACTAGTGCTTTTCTTTGAAAAAATTTTTATTATTATGAACTTAATCATTTCTGTATGGAAAGGACAAAAATTGTATATGAAACCACAAACTTGTTATAGCCTTAAAAAGTGTGTATTAAAGCGGGCAGTAACATAACCGACCTATTTGTGCCCTCTTCTGTTTTCTTCTGTGTATTTTTAAACGTATTGGTGGTTTTTATTTTGCATCTCAATTTTTCACTAATTTATCCCTTCCCCCAATAAAAGCCCTACACTTTAACGTTTAGTCAAGCAAAACAATCAAATATTCATCATGTATGCCAGCGCTCTTCCACCAGCACAGTGCTGACGTTAAGAAGAAATGAATTAAAACCCACCACTGCACACTAGATCCAGAACGCATCAGGGCAGAAGCTCACGTGACCAAGGGTAAGGGAGACCTGATCCTAGGAACCTCGGAAGTGACGCATTTCTTTCTTGTCCCTTCATGGCCTTTCCCCTCACCTCCCCTCCCCTGCCCCCTGCCCCTGGCCCTGCCCCCGGCCCCTCCCCTCCTATCATGCCCTAGCTGCCCATCTTTGGGTTTCTATTGGATGAGGACGGGTATCTTGGCTTTGGGCAGGGCTTTACACTGTGACGTTTCCCAGGGCAAAGGAGAGAAAGGCCGGGATGGTGTTTCCAGAGGCAGGGGGCGGGCGGGGGGGAGGGGAAGGGAAGGGGAGGGGGAGGTGTTTTCTCGGCAGCTCTCTTCCGGCGGGCGCTGCGTGCCCGGAAGTCGCCCTCCTGGCTGAGGGCTCCGCTTCGCGCGAAGTCTAGGGAGCCCGGGGCTGGCAGGACGGCGGCGGATGCCATGGGGGGGAAGAACAAGCAGCGGACGAAGGGGAACCAGAGGGTGAGTGGAGGGGGAGGGCTGGCGGGGCGGGGCGTACGGGGGCGGTTGGGCGTCAGCCGCCTCCTGCACCCGGGCTTGTCGCTCCGTCATTCCTAGCGCCCTGTCAGCCGGAGGGAACTTGAGGGGCCATCTTAGGCCAAAGTCCACATTGACAGGAAGATGACGCGTTGGTGGTTCGTTCGTGTTGCGGTCCTGGGTGGCGTGATGTCGGAGAGCGAGTTGCAAGGGAAAGGGTCATCGATCACTTAGCTCTCTTTTTCAGACTGCTCGCCCTGTCCTTCCTCTCCTTTCTGAGTTAGGGAATTGCACAGCTGTTTGCACCCTGAGTTCACCTTTCAGGGCCAAACCTCTTGAAAAAGTTTTTACACCCAGTACTACTCCCCTGCAACTCTGCTCAACATTTAGCAACCCCTGTCAATATTCCTTTTTTTTTTTTTTAAAGCAGTTGGGGTTAAGTGACTAGCTCAGGGCCACACAGCTAGTAAGTGTCAAGTGTTTGGTCTGAGGCCGAATTTGAACTCAGGTCCTCCTGACTTCAGGGCAGGTGCTCTATCCACCGCGCCACCTAGCTGCGTCCCAATATTATTTTGAAACTACTTACCCAAAGAGCGTTAATAGCATATCCTCATTTTCCCTCAACTTTTGCTGCAGCCTTTATACTGATGGTCACCCAGTCCTTCTGGATACCCTTGCCCTCATTGCCTTCAGAAATACTAGTCTCCTTGATTTGCTTCTTAGTACTACTACTAGTTGCAGGCGTTTATTATTAAAACCCTTTAAATATTTGCAAAATCTTCACAGATTCACTTGGTGATTTCATGAGCTTCCATGGATTTAATTTTCATCTTTCCACTGATGGTTCTCAAATGTACCTCTCCAGCCCTAACTTCTCTGCCAGACTCAGATCTCCCAACTGCCTTTCAGACATCTCAAACTGGATGTTGGATGCTCAGTAGATATCTGATGAAACTCAGCATGTCCAGAATTGAACTCCATACCTTTCCCTCCACATCTTTCCCTCTTCTAACTTTCCTATTGCTGTTGAGGGGCACTGTCATCCTCTACTCCTCACTCTCTCATCACCTCTCCAGTCTGTTGTGAAGACCTGTGGTTTTCAACTTTGCCACGTCCTTCTGATAAAGCCCCCCTCTCTCCTCAGACTCTGCCACCACCCTGGTTCAGGGCCTCATCACCTCATACCTAGACTATTGTAAAAGCCTGTTAGTTGGTCTCCCTACCTGCAATCTCTCCCCACTCCAATACATTCTCCATTTATCCACCAAAGTTATTTTCTTATAGAACATTTCTGACCATGTCACCAGCACTTGGACACCCTTAAGTGGCTTGCTTTTGCACTCCAGGATGTTAACAAGATTTTACTGAGCCAGTCTCTACCCTGAGAAGGATGAAACAGAAGGCCAGAGACAAAGTACCAGTAATTAGGTAGCCTTTAATTTAATTAGTTTCGATATGAGGAACAGATTTACAAATCAGGAATTCTCTTGATCAGCATTCCATTTTGCTGAAATGAAGACAGAGATTATATACATAAATCACAACTGGGAAGGGAGGGAGGAAGGTAGATTACAAACATTTGTTCCTGGGACCATAGTGGTTTCCCTCGACAAACCCACAAATGGAGGATAATACAACAGTTCTGGAGTCCTGTGGGAGCAATATTGCTCAAGTCCTTGGAGGTGGTTACTTGGTCGCAAGTTTTATGAGGGGAACAGGTTCTACAATCTTTGATTTGCTTCACTTCAGGTACACAGGCAGAGGAATGCCAGTGATTGTGAGCCTTGTCAGGGTTTGATTGATCACTTCAAGCTGCATTGTGAGTTTTCTCACAAGAGAGGCAATTCTGAAAAATATGATCTATTAATATATTCATTACACATATCTTATCAATTGAAAAATCAGAAGTGTCTCCATAAAGATCTATATAAAATCCTCTTGCTTTTAAAACCTGGCCCCTACCTTTCCAGCCTTCTTTCACCTTACTCCTCTACATGTACTCTGCCATGCAGTGACAATGGCCTTCTTGCTTTTCCGCAAACAAGACACTCCATCTCTTGACTCTGTGCCTTTACACTGGCTGTTCTTCATGTCTGGAATGCTGTCCTCCTCATCTCTACCTCCTGACTTCTTGAAGTCTCAGTTAAAGTCCTACTTGCTTCAAGAAACTTTTCCCAGTCCTTACTGTTTTCACTCTGAGATTATTTCCAGTTTATCTTGTACGTATTTTATTTGTGCATGGTTGTTTACATGTTGTCTCCCCTGTTAGAATGTGGAGGGGAGACTTTTTTTCCTTTCTCCTTATCCCTAGTGTAAGCACAGTGCCTGGCACATTAGTAGGTGCTTAATAAATGCTTGTTGACTTGACTTCAAATCCATTGCTCCTACCACTGTATCACACTGCTTCTTCCTAGCTCTTTTAATAGTTTCTTGTCTTTTCTGACTCCAGATTTTTTCTGGTGGTGCTCAAGGTTTCATTCATAGTAGTTTCTTCTTCTTTCTTCATTTTTACTCACTTAGGCTAGGCCATTTATCTTTACAGGTTCAACCACTTCTAGGCAGATCTTAAGATTTATAACAAGAAATGGTCTTAGAGATCATGATGTGATAAGCCTTTATTTTATAGATGAAGAAACTGTAGTTTAGGTAATTCCAGCCCTGAGCTGTGGACCTGTCTCCCACTATTAACAAAACATCTCTGTTTTACTAATTTGCCCTAAGATAGCAACAGGATTTCCTGTCTCCCATTTAAATCTGCCATTTTGACAGCTAGAATAGCTTCCCTTTGTCAAAAAATAACTAGTTAATAGCTTTCATTAAAAGTGTAAAAAGTTCTGTTCTTGAAATGTTTGATTCTCAAATACTAATTCAGTGGTTCCAGCAATTATAAATATCCTTCCTTACAAATTTTAACAAGCTATACCTGAAACATTTGTGTATATAAACTTATGTATATAAAATTTTGAGAACAGATGATTTGCCCTGTAAGTTTTCAAGTATTTCAAATGTCTGACATATACACACAATTTTCCTTCTCCTTGCTGAAGTTACATTATTTTCTTTTTCACGAAACATTCTGACATGAAGAGACATTCGAATCTGAAAAGTAAAGCCACACTTTAGAGATATAAAGGAGATTCTAGTTTAATTCAGGTTTCTCCTCTCTTCCCGCCCATCGCCAGTTTAGATGACAATTTTTTTTCCTGCACACCCTTTTATACACTGCTGATGTTTGATGTTTACTGATCCCAAAAAGCATTTTATTGGAGTTTTAACTATGCTGTCTTACAGTGTATCAGTCTCTATTTTCCCTTAGTGAAGATCTTATCTTCCTAAGTATGAAAATGGATTGTCCCCAGTTAAAGATGTAGCATAGTACAGTGAAAAGAACAGTGTATTTTGAAAACAGACCAATTATGAGGATATTATAGTAGGTGAGGCAAGAGAAGATGAGGCCTTGAACTAGAATAGTAGCAGTAAATGGAATGAATGTGAGAGATGTGGAAGTAAAATCAACCAGAACTGGCAGTGGACGGATTTATGAAAAGTGAGAGACAAGAAGGGGTTGTTCAGGAATGACTCTGGAAATGTGAACCCAGGTGCCTGACAAGATTGTGGTGTCTTCAGCAGAAACCAGGAGGTTTAGAGGAGGGGAGGGGAATTTAAGAGAGAGAAACGTTTGTTTGGATGTGTGTGATTTGAAATGCCTTCTAGGTAGAGATATCCATAAAACTAGGAGTTATAGGACATCTTGTGGGCAAACACATGTTGACAACATATTACAAATAGGAGTATACACATAGGAAAAATTATTTAAATTTAAATTTAACGTTAAATTTAAATTATTTAAATTTAACGTTAAATTTAAATTTAATGTATTTAAAGCTCTTTGCAAACCTTGAGTTGGTATTATTAATGTGACCACTACATTGATGCTCATTGGCATTGGGTCACTTGAAATTACAATCCTTAACAAACTGTTGTGTTCCCAGGTTCACAGCCCCCTAAAATCACGATGAAGCTACTATTTCAGTACTTCCATATACAGTATCACATATATAAAACAATATGAGTTAGCAGATGCAAGTATCAGATGAATGTCTTAGACTATTAGTGTTTGGTGGAGGGTGAACATGAGTATGACAAGTACTAGAGTAGAAACCAGTCTCCTCTAGAGCTCTTATGTAATTTTTAATCTCTTAGTTTTCTCAGGGACTCTTGTAGATCTTGTGGCCTATCCGGTTTTTTTCTCAGAGGGCTCTGCTTGTTTTGTGTTCCTTTCTTTTTCTGGGTACACCCCTTGGGTCTCTCTTTAGCAGTAGTATTTCTTCATTGTATTTGGTATTTTATTTGCTTGTGTTTTCAGCCTCAGTTTCTGGATTGGAATTTTGTGTTCATACCAGTCAGCTAGTTCCTCTCCAGTACTTAGAATAGATGAATTCAACCAAATTAAATTGGTTGAATTTTTTGATCCTGTCTCCTCTTTAATTCTACTCCTGCTGAGAATCTAGATGAGGTGGCTTCACTGTCTACTTCAAACCAGAGTTTTTGCCTTAGATTGTCCTTTGTTTCTGTTCTATTGGGCTAGACTTGAAAGAGTCTAGCTTCAGGATCATTTGTAGCAACTTGGACTGTTTTCCTTGGTAGGCTCCCCACCTTTGCTAATCATGTTTACCTAAGAGCTTGCTGGCTTCTGTGGTGTGTCACCTCTATTTATCTTTGTTAGCTTCTGTCTGTGTTTTTTTTTTTTTTGGTTTATTTTGCTGTTCTGTATTAGATGGAGGTGCTTGTTTCTGTTCCTTTTTTGGGGTCCTTTTAGATATTTTCTGAGGTTTTTGTGAGAGAGCTGGGCTTCTCTATGTCCTTCCTCATCACCATCCTAATTAGCCATAAGTCCAACAGTGAATCCACTACCCGTAGAAAATATAGTGTGGCCAGGAAGTAGAGAAACAAAAGATTAGAAGATCAGCTAGACTAGAACAAGT